CGTTTTAGGCGCAAACTATGGGTATAGCGTGCTTGTAATATAAAGTAATCATATTTATTTAAATTTTATTTATTTTTCTAAAAATTGACAAACATGCCTGCTCGAACGACAAATGGCAAAATTTGGAGGTCTGTATCTCATGAAATAATTTAATCATTATGATATAATTTGCAGATATTATTCTACTAATATAGAGCTAATATTTAAAAAATAACTAAGGTATCTGTGTGATAAATTAGTTAGGATATGTTTAGTCAAACATGGAACAAAAATCAAACAAAGAAAAATTCCGATGCGAATAAAAAAAAACACCACCCTCGATTTTTTTAAAATTTAGGTAACCTGTTATACTCTATTTCGGCATTCATTTCCATTAAAAACATGTTGCATCATTTTATTGAGAAAGAAGATACAACTCCCCAAAGTAGGGTCCTTTTTCAAAGCCTACACTTAGCAGTGTTTTATACAAGAACTGACTCTGAGTTCCAGTTTCATGAAACCAACACACATCTTTTATATATTTTTATTCAGATGAGGCCAATGATAACTAAAGAAATCGTTCACACACTTAAATTAAGGAGAAACTACTGTGTACAAAGAGGTATCATATTACGGACTAGTGATCCGAGAAAAGATCATGCAGCCATCGGCCACTAGGAACTTTGTTTACTTTATTCTCCTGCGACACTATATGCTACTCCCTCTTCCGCTCTACCTTCATCTCTCTCTCTCTCTCTCTCTCATATATATCCCTGATATATATCCAGAACAAAAACATGTTCAAGCATTCCCTTTCTGCGTGGTAGTGTTCTGTGGCTAGCAAAAATCATTTCCTCGCTAAGCTCACGATTATGGCAAAATAGTTGCCGGAAACCGCAGACGACACTCGTCGCTAGTTCTGGCAAAACGGCCGATACAATCTTTTTTTCGCACTTCCCCGCTCGCTGTCAAGGACAAGGGGGTTCACTTCAACCAGCAAAACATGGCCGCCGACGCCTGTTTACTGAGCAGTCATGCCTGTCGCCATCTCACTCGCTGGCGTCACGGGCGATAATATCAGGCACAAAGGGGCACACCAACCGGCAGCATTATCCCCAAATACTCGAGCCTCGGAGAGAGATTGGAAGCCTTTTGCATCTGCTCCCTCGAAAACGTCATCTGTTTTTATTTTACGGGTGTTACGCCGTGAAATTTAATTTCCGGCACCAAGCAGCAAGTTCCCGGTCCCGGCCCAGGGTGGTACTTCACCAGTAGCCCCGGGCCGAAGACCTCAGGGATGTCTGAACAAGCTCCATCGCTGGCGCCAGGGATCTCCGAGGGCGGGACACCCGGACCATCACATGCAAGTGCTCAGCAGCCAACTCAGAACGCCATAGCCATGTCACCAGTTGTCATGGCTACCAGTACTATGAAAATCCCAACCAAGCGACGATGCCCGGACTTTGATAAAGATCCACTATCCGACGACGACCGAACCTCTACCTACACCGTTCACGGCACAGTCGCCCCATCGGAGGGAGGCAGTCATGATCACACGCAAGACGTCGACCTGGACGATTACGAGAACCCTTTCACTGAAGTCCGATACAAGAAAAACCGCCCTGCAGGGATACCAGTAGTCTTCAAAACAGTCAACAGCGAAAAATCTTTCTGGCGCATCAATCCCAATGTTGTTGCCATCGAAGTGATTGGCATCGCCAAAGAGAAACTACTCTAGCACCGCATCAACAAGGATGGCAGCCTTGCTGTTAGCGTGGAATCTCTCCTAGCGGCAAACAGGCTTCTTGCTGTTACATCGCTTTGTACCATCGAGGTGACCACGAGTGTCCCCGAGTCGTACTCACGGAACCTCGGGAAAATCAAAGGAGTCCCTCTTGAATACTCGGACGGTGAGCTACTCGAATATTTAAAAGATTTCGGCGTCCTCTATGTTCAGCGCCAGATTGCTTACAGACGACAGGATGACGGCAAAGTCGAAGAACACAAGACTGAGAGTGTCATTCTTCGTTTCCGTCCGGATCGCCCAATGCCACAGCGCATTTTAATGGGTTTCACATCTCACCCTATAGAGGAATACTTTGGCCCACCCATCCAATGCTTTCACTGTCAAAGATATGGGCACATTTCAAAATTCTGTCGTGGTCCACAACGTTGTAAAGTGTGCGCTGGGCCACACAATCACAAGGCGTGTACATCTTTGCAAGACCCAAAGTGTGCCAACTGTGAAGGTCCACATCCCTCAACGTTTGCTGGATGCCCATGCAAGAAGTCCGCGACAAACATACACAAGAAGGAACTCGTGAACGGTAGAGATTACCGAGCAAAGAAACCGAACCCGAACCCAGACATTGTACGTTTTTCAAGGCCACCACCATCTGCAAATCTAAAGAAATCAACGAAGATAACGTACTCTGACGTCGTACAAGGGGCACCAAAAGAAGATAGGAGCAGATCAAAAGCAATGTTACAGCAAGACATTCCTCTGTCAAGAAATACCTCGGATCCTACGACACGGCCGCCGGTAGCAGCACCTCGTAGAGGAAAGAACAATGAACGCAACCCACCAGCTGCTGCAATTTCAGGTAGAATACCTCAGGAACAACAAAACGACCTTGGACAAGTTATTGTTCCCATGCTTTTTGCTGCGCTTAGAGCAATAATCAGAACGCTGCCCGGTTCTAGCGACCTTCCGGAAGTTAGGGCAATACTGGCCATGGAACCACTCATCAGGACAACATGCCCATTGGTGAGTGGATACCTCCATGGCTGAGGTCTATAAGCGCACATCTATCCTCCAGTGGAATGCCAACAGCTTGCAAGGAAAATTAGGGGACTTTCGACAATTTGTTGCACAATACTCTTTTCCCATTCTGGTAATATCAGAGGCGCGTGTAAATAATCAATTTCGACTTCCTAACTATGTTATGTACCAATCAAAGAGGCCAAATGGAACAAGTCGATGCTTAGTCGGGGTGCGTAAAGAATTTGGCTCGATTCTGTTATTTACTTCAGATTCAAGTACATTGGAGTATGTCGTCTGCAAAGTCAGTTATGGCACGACCTCACTTACTGTAGCAGGCGTATATATAGAACCGCAGAAGACTGTGACAAGAACAGAATTCGAGGCATTATTCACAAGACTTGAACGTCCCTACGTTGTTTGCGGAGATTTTAACGCCCATCATACCCTATGGGGCGGATCCCACTGCGATCCTCAAGGAAGCCTTATAGAAAGCCTGGTAGACCAGTATGATATGTGCATTCTGAATGACGGCTCTCCAACATACTTGAAAGGTGTAAACTATTCAAGTTGCCTTGACCTGACCTTGTGCTCCTCCGATCATTCACATGAGTTTGACTGGCGCACAGACTTGGACACGCGTGGCAGTGATCATTTTCCCATACTGATACACCATCCCCGGATTGTTGGTAATCGTGTTCCGCACCGGGTACACTTTACCAACTGGAAAATGTTCCGCTTATTAAATAGCAAAGAGGTGGAAGAAATTCAGTCTCTCGAAGACTTTGAAAACATCATTAGCAGAAATTTTGAAAAGGCTACACGTAAGGTGCCCGTTCCAAAAGACCGTGGTTGTGTGAATGGCGAATATGAAAGACTGCGGGCTATAAGACGCAAAGCTGAAAGAAGATATCGGAGATCTGGGAGAATTGAAGACTATCGTGAGGCTCAACACCTCCATACTCAAATGCGCCGACAGCTACAAAAGCTGGCTAAGCGTCATTGGAAAAAGCTTTGTGCCAGATTTTCTCCTTTCACCCAAGTTGAGATGGTATGGAACATATTGCGTTCGCTTAGGTCCCCTGTTACGCAACAACGTCCATTTCGGGCACTGGCACTTTCACGAGGAACATCCGAAGTGATAGTGGCTGATGAGTTTTGTGTTTCTCTATCTCAACCAGGTTTGGCAATGTCATCGCCAGAATATTGTGCCTCTCGTGAAGCTGCACTGAAAGACGTTGCTCACGAAATTCATTCCCAACACTGGCAACTCGACTATAATTTCACCATTCATGAACTTAATGAGGCGTTACGAACGATTCGTAAGCATACAGCCCCTGGGCATGATCACATTCGTTATGAAGCACTTACAAATCTTGGGCCGGGAACACTGCGCAGCCTACTTGATATTTACAATGACGTGTGGAACAGAGAAACCTTCCCAGCTTCATGGAAACTAGCGAAGATAATTCCAATACTGAAGTCGGGAAAAACACCGAAAGAACTGGGATCATTTCGCCCAGTCAGTCTGACAAGCTGTGTAGGAAAAATCTTCGAAAAAATGATACAATCACGTCTACAATGGTGGATGGAAACAACCGATGTATTACCGGAACAATTAACCGGATTTCGACCTCGACGATGCACTATAGACTCAGTCTTAGATCTTGTAACAACTATTGAACATGAACGGGCATCCGGAAATATGACGATCGCTGTATTTCTAGACGTGCATCGCGCTTTTGACACCGTTAGTCACGAACATGTTCTCCGTGGACTTCTACGGCTTAAGATACGAGGCCGTATGATCCGCTGTATACGCAACTTTCTCATGCATAGGAAGATATTTGTAAGCACGAGTGAGGGAAATAGCAAACAACATGAACTCCATCATGGTGTGCCACAAGGCAGCGTGTTAAGCCCCACTTTATTTAATGTAGTCATGGCAGAACTGCCCAGTAAACTTCCTTCACCACTGAATGTGTCCATCTACGCTGATGATATTTGTATATGGGTATCTGGGTCTTCTGAGACCAAACTACAAGAACAATTGCAGTATGGCCTTAATGACACATACAGTTATCTTCGTGAAAGCGGCATGGACATTTCAGTTAAAAAATCTGCATTTCTCCCATTCACTAGAAAGCACCTTAAGAATTTTAAATTGACACTTCAAGGACAACAGATTGAAAAGGTGAAGTGGCATCGTTTTCTTGGAGTTACGCTGGACTTCTCCCTCACATGGTCAAGACATATTAACATGCTTGAGGAAAAAATTAACAGAGTCATTAACGTTCTTAGACATGTGGCCGGTGCCAGATGGGGAGGCTCGACTGATGGACTACTGCTATTGCATACAGCTCTAGTACGCCAGACTCACCAGACTATCGCATACTCCATTCCTGTTTTACATGGCCTCTCACCAACACTCGAAAAACGCTTGACATACATGATTGCGCGAAGTTTGCGCGTATGCCTTGGACTTCCCCGCGCAACATCTAGTGACCTCGTCATTGCTGAGGCCAAGGAACCTCCAGTACCTGTTCTCCGGGAACAAGAAACATGCCGCCATTATCTTCGACTGGCTTCGCACTCACATGCCCGACCCTTGTGCCAAAAGATACTTCGACGGACGGAGTCTAGCTTTCACCGACTTCTCGTCGCACTACCCGTCGCAGCACCCCATCATGCGCATTGGCTTCCAAGTCTAATCAACCCTCCGTGGACAATTCCGCCACTGGAGATACAGACCGAAATTCCTGGTCTTGGATCAAAATCTTCGGTGGCCCCCCTAGTGGCGAAGACAATGTTCCTCTCCCATTTAGAGGCACGCTACAAAGACAACATTCATATTTACACAGACGGGTCAACATCTAACAAGGGGTCAACATCTGCTTACTCAATCCCGATGTTAGACAGATTTAAATGTTTTCGATTGTCCCATCATACATGCTCGACGTCAGCGGAATTACATGCAATACTTTCAGCATCATCATTCATTGAAGCATTCGGTACACCATCAAACTGGGTTATTCTAACAGACTCAAGAGCATCCCTAGAGTTATTACAAGGCATGCACCTTCGTACTTCCCAGGCGACCATTATATATCGGGTGCAACTCACGTTAGCACAAGCTCGACTCCACGCACATAACGTCAGGCTACAATGGATACCGAGCCACTGCCAAATCGCCGGAAATGAAGAGGCTGATCACCTGGCAGCTCAAGCTCACGATGGTGACGCAATGGAAGCGACATCCTTTACCCCTGGAGATGCAAAATTCATCCTTCGTCACTTACGCCATCTACGTTGTCGGCAGTGCTGGCTAAAGGACACTTCAGCAGAGACTCTCCTACCATATATCGACCCGGACTTTGAGCTTCCACCGCACACCGGGATGAAAAGAAAATACGACGCATTAATCCATCGACTCAGACTTGAAGTGGCCTTTACTAACAGCTTTTTGTTTCGAATTAAACGCCGAGATTCGCCAAGATGTGACTGTGGAGAACCATATCAGGATGTACAACATATCCTCCTTGACTGTGAACGCTTTCAACATGAAAGGCGCCGGATGGAGATTCGCCTTCAAATATTAGATGATAGACCCCTGTCTCTGACCAAGTTGTTGGGGCCCTGGCCGACGCGTAAAAAACAAGACAGAGCAATGAATATCATTCATGACTTTCTAAAGGACACTAGAATCGTGTATGATTATTAAGTGCGAACGTGCATCAATTTCAACGGGAATGACTATGTATGTAATTTAGCAAATCGGTGCACGACTCCCAAACGGTCGTCTTATTCGCAATTGTAATTAGATTTGCTTGTATGTTTTTTTTACGGTTTTACTTTATGTGTTTTATCTTTATTCTTTTCCTTTTATGTTCTTCCTTTTATTCATATATATTTTCTCTCTCTTTCTCGTTATGGAGTAGCCGGTGTCATTTAAAGAATACCAACATCTCCATAATAAAGAATTTATCTCTCTCTCTCTCTCGAGCCTCGCGTAAATACATAGAGTGTAAACGCTGTCGCCATGTTATCGTAGTAAGACCGCCCCTCCCCCCCTCCCCCAACGGGGGACTGCAGTACGCGACGGCGTACTAACACAACGGCGACGATATCGACATCGTGGGCTCCGAATTTTCCCATAGTTCTACTCCACGGGCATTTCTCGAAACGCTTGATATTGTGTACGCCCGCCTGGAAGGATTTCAGGCGCGAAGTTAAGATAAGGCGGTTCTCCGCGGCAAAAGAAAGCAATTTCACAAAAGCTTAAAAGCGGCGGCGACGCGTGTGCGGTGAACGCTTGTAGTTTTGGTGTAGACAGGGTGTGTGTGTTCTCGTTGTTGACACCAGCCGGCAATAAGGCACTGCAGGCGGTAGCTCAGTACGCCAAGGGCTAATCCGAATGACCATCAACGTAAAGCGCGATCCAAACCAACGCTTCTTTTTGCGCCTGTAGGTCGTGCGGCTGCGGATGTGACGTATTTTCGTGACGTCGCGCCACTTCTTCGCTCCTTCCGGGCGCGCACAAGAAAGTTGGTTGATTTCAACTTCTTTCTCAACGCGCACAAAAACGCGCGGTGACGTGCAGGGCGCTCCTGTGTCCCGGCCAATCGGTGGAGGGCAAGCTAGTTCCGGCTCCGCGTTTCTCGCCGTCTGGCTGCCCTCTCCTCCCCCCCCCCCCCCTTTTATTCTCTTCCAATATGACAACGCGATCTCTCTCTCTCTCTCTTTCTCTCGCCGTCTGGCCGGCCAGTCTGTCGCAGTTGCACCTTGCTTGTGCGCTCGCGCCTGCGTGCGCGCGTGCGCGCTCGCCCGAAGTTTCGCCCGTCCAAACCAAAGCGCACGGTTCTGACTCAGAAAGCGCGCCCGGAAACAGCAAAAACGCCACAAAATGCGTCACATCCGCAGCCGCACGACCTAGAGGCGCAAAAAGAAGCGTTGGTTTGGATCGCGCTTAACCCCACCGCCAACCCCTCGCGAACCGGTCGCCGACATGGCTCAGGCTGTGTCATGAACCACGTGGTAGAAGCTCGGGTGCTTTCATATCAGGGCGTGGAGGGACGACAGTGCGATTCCGGAAAGTATTTTTCGAAGGCCGCTGACCACAATTTTTTGTCTGGAGACTTTCCCTCTTTCTTTCTTTGACGTGGATCAAGCTTTGCCGACAGCCTCAGTTGTGACCTCTCTTTTCACATGTACGTTTGCAGTGAGTGAGCTCCTCAGCCTCGGACTTGTCACTTGTGCACCCAGTAGTTCTTTCACTTGGCAATTATATGCCATCAGTTGAGGTTTAATTTCTATTATTTATGTATACATAATGAAGACGTCCTGGAGCTCCGAACGAGTGTTTTGTGCAGATTACTTTTGCAAACACAAAAAGACTATACCAAAGCAGCGGAATTTTCGAAGTGTTGGCGAGTTGGACCTAAACTCGTTGAAGCAAATTCTTCCGCCTGACTGTTCCAGCAAAGTGAGTGCGACGGACTACCTGTGCTACCATTGCTTCATGCACATCACTAAGGAGATCTCGATGCGAAGCTCAGAGCAGTGCCCTGACATATTTGTGCCAGCTGAAGAAGCAATTGAAGATCTAAATCGCAGCATACTACCTACAGATGTGTCGCCGCTGAGACAACCAAGCGTCGTAAGAAGTCGGGACAGGCCTGCCTATGTCAAGAGAAAGCACACAGAACTGGAGCAGGTTGCTGTCAAGAATATACGCTCAAGGCTACGTATTGCGTACGACAGGGACGCACCATTGGGGTCGTCCGAACCAACATGCTCCACATGCACTGAGTGGGTGGACAACTTTCGGCAGGCCTTTGAAACCGCCACCTCTCTCCGGGAACGTTGTCAACTGCTTACACTCCTGCCGTCAACACTGACGAAGAATGAGGTTCAAAAGATGATTCCACAGGCCTCAATGTACCTCATCAGTAAATCCCGAAAACTCAAGGAAAAGCATGGCGTGTGGTATGAGCCGGATCCTTACACGAGGTGCAAGGTGAGCCCTGAGAACCTGTCTGCTGCCCTAGAGTACTTCACGAAAGACGAGCTACAATGTTCGCGCCAAAGTCCCAACCAGAAGGACGTCATCTCTGTCATGCTCAACGGAGAGAAAACGTTCGTGCCAAAGCGCTTCATGACACGCTCAATACGAGAGGCCTTCCGTATATACAAAGACAAGCATCCCGATTCCGGCGTTGGGCTAACGAAATTTTATTCGTTGCGCCCTAGATGGGTCCAATGTATTCCACACCAGGAAGTGTGCGTTTGTGTGCGCTGCGCCAATTATTATCTTTGTATTGCCGCTCTAGAGAACGTTACAGGCTCAACATTCAACACTGGTGAAATGAACTCGGCATTTCTGTGCGACCCAGCAACAGAACTGTGCCTTCAAGGAGACTGTGATCACTGCCCAAAAGGCCAGTTTCTTACACTCCAGGAACTTGATATCCCGGAGGATGAAGAGATTGTGCTTGCAACATGGGAGTCCGGCGACCTTGTGAAAAAAACTTTGGAACCTGAGACTTTCCTAAAAGTCATCCAAGTGACGGTTGGAAGTTGGTTACTTCACAACCATATCCGGCAAACGCAAGGTAAAGCGATCTACGATGAAAAACAGTGCATGCAACGCGGGAGCATTGACTTTCATTTTGACTTTGCTGAAAACTGGACCATCGTGCTTCCTGTCGAAGTGCAAGCATATCACTGGAAAAAAAAAAACAAGTTTCGATATTTACATGTGTAGTGACGACAAGAAAATCTACAAACAGCTTTGCCATCATCAGTGAGGACCTGTGTCACGACGCCGCTCACGCTTGCTTGGCTCTAGAAAAAGTGAAGGAGTGGGTTGAAGACAACGTTGCGGTATACTCGTACGTGACGTACGTAAGTGACGGCGCCGCCAGTCATTTCAAGAATCGCTACCAGCTTCACCAATTTGCAAAGGACGATTGCCCACAAGCCCAGTGGTTATTTTCTGCATCTGGACATGGGAAAAATGCATGTGACGGAGTTGGCGGACTCGTGAAGCACCAGGCCACGCTGAACAACCTGAGAGAACGTTCAGTAAGCGCAATTCAGACGGCCAGGACAATGGTGAGCGTTCTATCAAAGAAACTGAAAGGCGTGCATCTTGTATATCTGGACGAAAATGAGGTTGTTCGGTATCGTGAACAAAAAAAAGAAGAGTGGCTGACGGTGCGCGCCTTCCCTGGCATTCAGTCTTGGCACGCGTGGCGGCTCAGCAAGTCATCAACAGAAGGGACCTGTGACGTATATGTAGCACGGACAGTCGGATCTGCTAGGAAGCAACTTTAATAAATGGGTACAGCGAGGAAAACCTTAGCGTAAAGTGCCGAATTTGATTTCCCAAGGACTGCTCATTTTGAATGGAGGGACATCTTATTTATCACATTTTTCTTCACGGGGTATTTAACCTACTGTTTTTGTTGGTGGTTACTAATAATTTTTATCTGATCACTATAAAAAAAAATCCCAAAATGTTATCCTCGAGCAGGATAAAATATATCGGCTTGCCACGATTCATTCATACACCGAGAGCATCGAAGCTGCTCCAGTTAGGCACTATGGCATCCGTCACCTGAAATTGTTTGTAATCGTAAATACACAGCCAACCTAAATATCTTACTATTATATCTTTGTTTTTGTGTGTGGAAGTAAAGTTATTTATTTTACTCTAGATTAAAATATACCGGAAGGTACAACTTCACACTGCATCATCTTTTCTCAAATCATTAGTCTCTAATATGATACCACTTTGTACGCTTATGCAAAATGCTGTATATAGTTTCTCCTCCCTTTTACTGTGTGACCGATCGCTCTTTTTATCAATGACCTCATCTGAATAAATGTATATAAAAGATTTGTGCAAGTTTCATGAAACTGGAACTTAGAGTCACTTCTTGTATAGGACACTGCTAAGTGTAGGCTTTGAAAAGGACCCTACTTTGGGGAGTAGTTTCTTCTTTCACAGTGCAATGATGCAACATGTTTTTAATAGAAATGAATGCCGAAATAGAGTATAACAGGGTACCCAAATTTAAAAAAAATCTAAGGTGGTGTTTTTTTTTTATTCGCATTGGAATTTTTCTTTGTTTGATTTTTTTCCCATGTTTGCCTAAATATATTGTAGCTATTGTGTCACTCAGATACCTTATTTATTTTTTCAATAATAGCCATATATTAGTAAAATAATGTCTGCAAGTTATGTAATAATGATTAAATTATTTCATGAGATACAGATTTCCAAAGTTTGCCATTTGTCGTTCGAGCAGGCATGTTTGGCAATTTTTAGAAAACTAAATAAATTTTTAATAAATATTATTACTTTATATTACAAGCAAGTTGTACCCATAGTTTGTTTGTAAAAAGTTTTAAAATTCTCCTAATTTTATTGTTTTAATTATTCACTTTCAAACTTGCCCCCTCCATTAGTGCGCGTTATTGCAACTGTCCACCTCTCCCTGCCTTACAATTTTTCTTGTCTCCAAATTTTTTTTCTGCTCAAAACTAAGTGTGGATTCGTTTATACCAGACACTAGACAATGTCATATAAAAAAATCAGTTGATTTAAAAATGTCGACCAGCCACCCTTTGGTCAATCTTATCTGAAATCACCCATATACGAATATATCTTGCACAGTCTTTTCGTATTTATGAAAAATATGACAGTGGTCACCATCC